GGGGAGGACAAAGGACAACAAGAGGGAAGGACAGAGGACAGCCAGGAGACGGGGAGGATAGAGGACAGCCAGGGGACAGGGAGGATAGAGGACAGCCAGGGGACAGGGAGGATAGAGGACAGCCAGGGGACAGGGAGGACAGAGGACAACGAGAGGGGAGGACAGAGGACAACAAGAGGGGAGGACAGAGGACAGCCAGGGGACGGGGAGGACAGAGGACAACGAGAGGGGAGGACAGAGGACAACAAGAGGGAAGGACAGAGGACAGCCAGGAGACGGGGAGGACAGAGGACAACGAGAGGGGAGGACAGAGGACAACAAGAGGGGAGGACAGAGGACAGCCAGGAGACGGGGAGGACAGAGGACAACGAGAGGGGAGGACAAAGGACAACAAGAGGGAAGGACAGAGGACAGCCAGGAGACGGGGAGGACAGAGGACAACAAGAGGGAAGGACAGAGGACAGCCAGGAGACGGGGAGGACAGAGGACAACGAGAGGGAAGGACAGAGGACAACAAGAGGGAAGGACAGAGGACAGCCAGGAGACGGGGAGGACAGAGGACAACGAGAGGAGAGGACAAAGGACAAAAAGGAGATAGGGAAAACAGAGGACAATGAGGGTGCAGGACAAAGGACAACCAGGAGACGGGGAGGACAGAGGACAATCTGTGTTTGTGTCTCTGGACGGACGTGTCCACTGAGCCTGTAAAGACGAGTCCTGGAGTCTGGATGGAGGACGGACAGTGTGAAAGTCATAAATGATTAAATGACCGTCGACATGTTTCAGACTGTGTCTCTGTTAATGTCTGTCTCTACGGTGGCCTCTGAGGGACAAACTCAGCAGACGTTGTACTTGTTGATGATTTATTTTCTTTCACAACAGAAATGAAACGAAATCTAAAAATCTGAAAACAAAAAAAAATGAAATTAAATCTGTGAGAATTTTTATCACTTAAGAATCGTAAAAACCTGAAAGAGTGAGACATGAACACATGAATTCATGTTTTCAGAAGATTTGTGCTTTTTCTCTTTTTGTATGTTTTGTCCTCCGGGGACCACCGTAACAGCTTAAAGGAACCACCTCTGTGGTCCTCACTTTCCCACAATGCACTGCTCAGCAGGGACTGTGTAAAGGTGCGTTCAGGTGCTCTTTGTTATTCAGTTACAGCGTGTTAAATTCTGAAAAGCCCAATCCTGAATCAGCCCAAACTGATCCTGAATCAGCTCAAACTGATCCTGAATCAGCTCAAACTGATCCTGAATCAGCCCAAACTGATCCTGAATCAGCTCAAACTGATCCTGAATCAGCTCAAACTGATCCAACATCTATTGCACGTCTGTCCGTCCTGGAAGAGGGATCCCTCCTCAGTTGCTCTTCCTGAGGTTTCTACCGTTTTTTTTCCCTGTTAAAGGGTTTTTTTTGGGGTGTTTTTCCTGATCAGCTGTGAGGGTCATAAGGACAGAGGGATGTCGTATGCTGTAAAGCCCTGTGAGGCAAATTGTGATTTGTGATATTGGGCTTTATAAATAAAATTGATTGATTGAAAATTGATCCTGAATCAGCCCAAGTCGATCCTGGATCAGCTCAAATGAATCCTGAATCAGATCAAACTGATCCCGAATCAACTCAAATGGATCGTGGATCAGCTCAAACTGATCCTGGATCACCATCATCATGTGACACAAACAGTCACATGACCTTGTCACTGTGCGTCCTGCAGACAGCTGTTTAAAAAAGATGATGGAGTTCAGAGAGACACGACGGCTTTTGTCCACAGGGGGGCGCCACAGTTCACTGCAGCTGCTTTAACAAGTTTCTTCTTTGGCTGTTTGCAGCAGAGACGAGCTGGATCGGACGTTCTGATGGAGAACACTTCGACTGCTGACCACATGAAGAAGAACGAAAGAATTCTTTCTGCTGTCAGATGAAACTTAACAAGTCTGATGTGTTTGTTTCAGTCTGACCTCTGACCTCTGACTCCTGACCTCTGACCTCTGCTGTTCAATGATCAGATCAATAAATCAAAAACCTGTCACAAACTTTGCTTCAGTTTCTTCAGTTCAGGTGAAACATCAGAGGTGGGTCGAGCTGATGCTGATCAGCACATGTTGCGTTCAGTGACCAGTCTGGAGGGTGGGGAAGAAGAGTGGAGGGAAACACAACTATATAGAACAAGGTATTTATTACAGGTGCAGGACAGCAGTAACCCTCCATCATCACCTCTGACCCTCTGAGCACAAGTAACGGCTCCTTTACGCTCAGACGTCAGATTCTTCTGTCTCTGTCTTTATTTCATCTGATTCATGAACGTTTCCTGAAAGTTTTCAGATACGGACAAACAGAGCAGAACCACCAGAGATCATGGAGGCAGGGCGGAGGTGGTACGAGCACACAAAAAACATGTTGTTTGCTGCGACTCAACAGTCAAAGTTCTGGATGTTAACGGCCAAAATACAAAGAAAAGACTCGCTAAGAATAAAGAATAATATCCAGTACGACGTCCCTCTGTCCTCACAGCTGATCAGGAAAAACCCTTCAATGGGAAGAATAAAAAAAGTGTTATAATAATCAGATAAGTCAATAATCAATAATGAACCTGTCCATAGGTTTAAACGATATAATAATATCTGACTGTAAAATAATCAAATCAACACATTAACTTTCTAACTGAACGACAGATGAACGGATTTAGAAATTCTGGGTCGATACTGACACCGGTGTTTTTATATTGTTGTTTGTTTTGTTTGTTGTTGTTATTTATTCTTCTTTTGTTTCCAGGGAAACACAGAGATCTACACTATAAAAAATAAAGTAATCCATTCCTTCATGACCCTTCACACCTCTGTGAGCATGAATTCAGTAAAACACATTTACGAAACAACTTTTAACATAAACTTCTTCACATGAAAAACATTTTTAAAAAAACAAAAGCCTTTTTACTATAAACGATGCGTCGTAACTCCCTCTGTAATATTGCAATCAATGAAATCTCCTTGCACAGCCACAGGTAACGTGTGTCATCAGCTTGACAAACCAATCCTCAGCACACTGACATACATGATGACGCTGAACGTGAAACATGTTGTTCCCTCAAATAAAGTCATGAGAATGTTAGAATTTACCTTCATCCAGTACTCATTTTTACTGAGTAGAGCTTGAACGCTTCACATCTGAGCTATTGGTTTTGTCCACCGGCTGCTGAGAGGTAACAATAACTAGCTGCTAACAGCTAAGTGCTAACTGCTAACAGTTAAAAGCTAACTGCTAACAGCTAACTGCTAACAGCCAGGTGCTAACAGGTGCTAACTGCTAACAGCCAGGTGCTAACAGGTACTAACTGCTAACAGGTGCTAACTGCTAACAGCCAGGTGCTAACAGGTGCTAGCTGCTAACAGCCAGGTGCTAGCTGCTAACAGCCAGGTGCTAACAGGTGCTAACTGCTAACAGCCAGGTGCTAGCTGCTAACAGCCAGGTGCTAACAGGTGCTAACTGCTAACAGCCAGGTGCTAGCTGCTAACAGCAAATTGAAGGAGTTCTCCTCCTGCTGATTCCAGCGCAGATCTGTTGGTTAAAGGGCAGCGGCATGTGAGATGTTCACGGTACGATCACAGAAAATATCACAGCATTATTATCATCAGTCAGAGCGATCCATGACGACAGAGGGTTATTGTTGGTGGAATGACACGACATGATAACGATACAGCATGTTTCAGATGACTCCGCCCATCTCCCCCAGAGAGCAGGTAAAGTGCGACGAACAATGTGAAGAAAACTTTGTGATGTGTCCTCCAGCTCTGACCATGAGCGAGTAAATAGAGGCGGAGTTACAGCTGCCACTTAGCGGCTGGCACACACACACACACACACACACACACACCACAGTGTATAGTGCCCACAGAACTATAGATTATTTTCAGACATCATAATTATATATCATAATCATATAATTCGGACAGTTCAATATTTTATGACATTTTATCAACATTTTTTAGACTTTTAAGATATTTTTGGACATTATATAAACTTTTTTCCAGATATTTTAATAATGTTTGTTTTCGTACATTTTTCATAATGAATTGTGGACATTTTATTACATTTTTTCTGACATTTTAATAATAATGGCCAACATTTTTTGGACATTATTTTTAATATTTCTTTTCGGACATTTCAGTAATGTCTTTTCAGACATTTTATTACCATTTTTTCTGACATTTTAATAGTATTTTTAGAAATTTCATTAATATTTTCTCTGACATTTAATGTTTTTAGAACATTTTGTAAAAAAAAAAAAAAATCCAACATTTTAATCTTTTTTTTCAGACATTTGGACCAGACGATGTGCTCAAACACATGAAAACAAAATATGAAACAAAGGAAAGTGAAACTTTTTATTTTCATATAAAACAGTGTTTAACACGAATTAAAAAGACGACAAAACTTCTGTTAGAAAATGACAGATATTAATATTTATAATTCAAACTAAATCAGTTCAAATAAATAAATCAGTTCATCACACACACACACACACACACACACACACATCTGACATCATAAAACAAACAAACTGATCAAAGTCAAATAAATATTTCAGCATAAATAAATAAATAAACTCTGATAAAGAATCTGCAGCAGTGGACGTGTTTTCATCAGTCAAACAAATATTCATAAATACAAACGTAAATAAAATAAATACTATATTTATTCACAACACACAGCAGCAGTCTGCTCAGACCACTTCCTGTTTCACAATAAAAGCCTCCACATGATTCACCAGTAGAAGAAGCTTTTATTGTGAAACAGGAAGTGATGGCTCTGATGTGACTCGATCGATTGATCAGAAAACTGGAAAACTTCTCAGCTCATTGATCGATGATCAGAAAGATTTCCTGATCAGCCGTGACGAGACGCTCAGACAGCTGACAGAGCGTGTGTGTGTGTGTGTGTGTGAACGCTGCAGAATCAGAAAGTGAAAGACGAGAGCAGCAGAGGACACGCTCAGACCTGCACATCATCATCATCAGTTTCTTCATTCCTGGAAGATTCCCAACATTCCTGCTGAACACACACACACACACACACAGACAAACACACACACACACACACACACACACACACAGGCGCCACTGATCCCAGCGCTCCTCCTTCACAGTAAATGTCTGCCATCAGCTACACGAGGAGGTGAATCTCTTCCTGATCATGTGACGTGACCTCAGTCCGAACAGGAAGTCGTTCTGCGTCCTTTAAAACTTGTTCCACAATCAAACTCTTTTGTTTTTGTTTTGGACCACTTCCTGTTTGCTGCAGGTGATCTGACCCAGAGAGCTCCGCCTTCAGACGCTCAGCTGGTTCTGTTGTAGCCACGCTCATGGCGTCCTGATGTTTCTTGCAGCGTGGCGTCCCCTCTGCTGGGCGGGGCTTAGCGTGTACCTGATGGGCGGAGCTTGTAGGTGGAGACAGCTCTCAGGCTGCGGATCAGGTCGTGACAGAAGGAGCGGAGCTGCGTGAGTGTCAGGTGAGTCGCCACCTGCACCTCGTAGTTACCGTGGAGACGGGAGGCCAGGTCCAGACTCTGATCTGCAGCACTGCCGCCGCTGAGCTGAGCCGCCTCCTTCATCTGAAACACACACACACACACACACAGAAACACACAGTCAGCTGTGACCTCACACACTCCGCCGCAGACAGCCATGATGTCACGTCAGGTGTGTGTGCGCTACCTTGTTGATGCGTGTCAGCAGGTCTCTGAGGTCAGCCCGCAGGTCGCTCAGTCCGCTCAGCCGGTCTGATAAAACTCCCAGCAGCCCCTGGTACAGCCGGCTGCCCGCCGCCATGCGACTCACACAGTCGTCCTGCAGGAGGCGACACAGCGCGTTAAAAACTCGCAACGAACACAGAAACATTCATGTTGTTATTCTCTGAGGTGACATCATCACTGACGTCATTAAGAACCAATCAGACTGCAGACTGACCAGTGTGAAGCGTTCGGATGGCGGCTTGAGGACGGGGGCGGCGGGGATGCCCAGTGATGTCACCATCATCTGCAGGTTGGTCGTCTGTGCGGCAGAGTCGAGGGTCAGACCCTGAGGAGAGCAGGAGGAGCGTAAATATTCACACATGAAGAAGAAGAAGAAGAAGAAGAACCAGCAGGAGCCAATCAGACGGCTCGGTTACCTGCGTAGTGATGGTGGCGGCGTGCACGGTGGGGATGTCTCTCAGGATTTTCTCCACCAGCGTCTTCGCTCGCTCGGCCGCCTCTGTGAGTGGCGAGCTGACAGGAGCTGACTGGATTAAATCTGCCAACAGGAAGCAGTGCAGCAGGGCGGCGACTGGAGGGAGGAGCATCATCATCATCATCATCATCATCATGTATTTTATTAATGTTATTTAACTGTTAATTTAATGGAGGGTAAATACTGACGGGAAACAATATTTCTTTTATCAAACAGAAAACAAACTGCAGGTTCTAATTAATAATTAATAACTGAGCAGTAAATTATTCATTAACTTTTAATAACGTCGTTATTTACGTGACTTTTCCATTCGATACGCAGCGACCACGAAATGATGTCAAACAACTAAACTGAGCAAAGACGTGACGATTGAGATTTTAATGTTGTATGAAAATCAATCGATCAATCGATCGATTGGCTCATATCACGGTGCTCCACCTGAGCGTGTTCTCTGGCACTAACAGCCCTCCATACAGCAGCCTGGCACAGTTCACCCTCCACACCGCAGGCTCTCAGGTGACGTAGGAGGTGTGCAGCTCTCCTCACTTTAACTTCACACTAAACTCTATATCATCGCGTCACTGTCACACTCAGACACATCTCAGCTGTTTCCGGTTCTGTTCCTGCTGGTCAAACGTCATCACCTCCACACTGACCTCAGTAGAACCAGGGGTGCTCACCTGTGGCGGGGTTCATGTCTGTCAGGGCGGCTGTCGGTGTCTCGGTGTCTGTCCGCCGGTGAACTCGGTAAATCTCGTCTCAGCTTCCATTTGCAGCGACTTTTTATCCGCACGCGCTCCCGCGGGGTTTTCCATTGACGGGCACCGACGGCTCCGTGACTCTCCGCGGAGTCATCCCGATAAATCCCGAAGTGACGAAGCAGCTTGTGAAAACCTGTTGCGTCACAGCCGACCGCGAGATCCGCAGCGGTGGGTGCGCAGAGAGAGCTGCGCGGATCGGACACACCTGAGAGGGTCTCACCAGCGGCGGGAAACCACGTGACGTCACACCTGGAGTTACTCTCGAGGAAACTCATCACAGAAAAAACTCCAGAGTTTATTAACAGATGACGATGATGATGATGATGATGATGATGATGAACCAGTTCAGCTCCAGTTAAACCAGTTAACCCTCCACTACAGTCACACTTCATTTAATCAAACACAGCTGTAACAGTGATGAAGTCTTTCACAGTATCAGAGTAATCAGATTACTGCAGTCAAAGTAAAGACCTCCAGGTATGAAGGTGTCCAGGTGCACGGTGACGCTGCTGCGTGTCACATACGAGCTCTGCTAAATGTGTTTTGTTATTTAAGTTTCTCATTAAATGTTTACTATTTTGAGAGCATCAACACAAACAAACAAACAAACAAACAAACAATGTCCCGTGATACAACCAGAGCAAAACAAACAAAAGCTCCATCTGTGTTTTACAGTTGTTCAGCTCCTGTGACATCATTAGTGACATCATTAGTCCTGGTTGTGATCACAGCTGTTGCTGATATTTGTTTGTTTGTTTTTATTTTCATGTGTTTGTGTTTGTCTCAGCTGTGGCTCTGTTATTGTTTCAGATAATAATAAAACAGTGTTCTGGTGACTTCTGAGGGGATTTCTTTAAATTTGGCACAAACGTACACGTGGACTCAACCATGAACTGATCAGTTTTCAGTGGTCAAAGGTCAAAGGTCAGTGTGACCTCCAGTGAAATCGCTGAGTTGATGAATGAACTTCCAGCAGCACGTCCTGGGCGTCATACGTCCCTGGAGGATCTCAGTGCTGATCAACAGCTGATTGCTGCCGCCATTGGAGGTGGCGCTGAAGGAGCGTCTGCGTGAGCTCTGCCCGGTTAGCATGAGCTAACACATCCAACACATAGGCCCAATTCCAATCCGGCCCCTAAAGACTCATGCCCTGAACCCTCACTGACTTAACTGACGTCAGCTGTAAGTGATTGAGTGTGAGAGTCTGAAAGGGCTCTGGATGCTACAAATAGGAATGGGACAGCACTTATCCCTCTCTACAAAATGTTGTTTACATTGGCAGCTCTGGGCGTGATCATTTATCTGTTATTGTCAGCATATATTCCACACACAAAGAATACATATATAGATATATAGACATATATTCTTTGTGTGTGGAATATAACCACTGGTATTCCTCTGACTTCATGTGTGTTTATGTACCATCTTAAATCCTTAATCAATGTAATGTTTCATTGTTTATCTATCTGTTTTTTCGCTCTCCTTCCATAACGTTACCGTTTGCATATCTGCCAACCGTGTTTTCGGGTTTTTTTTATAACACTTCCGGTGTTCCGAGGGCAACCCCTGTATTTGACGTCACAACGCTATGAACTGTGGGTAATTTCCTTACCGTAAGTCTGCATCGATGCTGACCTGCGGTAAGGGGGCATAAAGGGCTCACTCACTGACTCACTGACTTGACGATTTGACAATGGGACAGCCCTCACACACTCACACACTTCACATGAACGCGTCTCTAAGTCAGTGAGTCTGTAAGAGATCGGATTGGAATTGGGCCTTAATCTCACAGCGACACTGAAACGGCTTGACTCTGTTAAACCTGTTAATAACCATCAGGTAACGTTAGCCGTGTGATGCTAACAGTTAGCCCTGTCACTGTGTGTGTGACTACAGTCACACAGCAGCAGCAGCCTCATCATGAACTGAGACAGAGGCCCCTTTTACACTTCCTGTTCAAGGCGGGAATTTCACACCTCGCCGCTCTGTAAAAAAGGTACGATCACAGAATGGAGGGATGAAGTTGTCTCGCCTTTCAGCCGGCAGCAGAGGAACAGCAGTGAAATTATGTCTGTATAAAAGGGACAGTCACCAGGACGAGTGTGACGACCTCCTCTGTGTGTGACCCATTGCATGAGATTTTGAAAGCAGCTGTTAGCAGTTAGCAGCTAACTCAAAGAAGAAGAATAGCAGCTGCTAGCAGTTAGCGGCTAACTGCTAACAGCTGCTTTCTTCCTCTCTGAGTTATGTGAGTTGTGTGTGTGATTATTCACCTTCAGTTCCTGTATGACATCATGTATTTTCCTCTTTGAGAAATCCTGGAGTTAAACTGAGTCAGCAGAAAGAAACTCAGCAGTTTATTTCCTCTTCCTGCCGCAGCTGAAACTTTTACTTTGTAGTAAAAGTACAGTAACTGAGTAAATTTACTTCAGTCTTATTATTATTATTAGACATGTAATGAGGTATCTGAGTAAATACAAACTATTTGTGGTTCCTTGTTGACACTGAACCTGCTCAGTTTGTGATTCTAAACTCAACGTTCACTTACTGGCTCTTCCCAGAGCTTTCAGCCTAGTCCCACTGTCTTCTTCAGTGAATGGAACTGACTTCGTCCCTCGTTCTGGAAGAGACTAAAAACACACGACAACACGGGGAACACGATGAAGACCATGAGAGTCGGCTGAAGGCTCCAGAAGGAACACGTTAAAAAGATCTTAACCTGAGTTCAAATGATTTAAACAACAGACGAATGTCAATAGATACAATCTGAAAACTAAAATAACATCTGACCACGTGAGGTTTGTTTGTTTGTTTGTTTCAAGTCTGTTTGTTTGTTTGTTTCAGGTTTGTTTGTTTGTTTGTTTCAAGTCTGTTTGTTTGTTTGTTTCAGGTTTGTTTGTTTGTTTCAGAGGGGTATTTAAGGTAGGAGGTTCAACATACTCTGAGTCTAATCCTGAATTCTGACTTGACTTACTCTGAGCTGGGAAACTCTGAGTATCCGGTTCCAGAACAGCTGATTTGAATTAGTTCAGTCAACTCTGAGTAGGTACACCTTGAGTTAAGCACGTGCACAACCACAATAAAAAGCCATCATCAATGGAGCCCCGATACCTCAAGTCACCATGGCAACTGGAAAGAAAAAGTGATCAACTTATTTTACACCTGTGGACTTGGAGGTGCTCATGAATGCCTACAGCGAATATGAGCATATATTTCATAAACAAAGTAACAGCACTAAAGCTGCCAAGGAGAGAGAGGCAGCATGGGAAATTTAGCAAGCATGGTCCTCTTTGACAGGATGTTGGTGGCTCAGTGGATAGAGCAGGCATCCCATAGATATAGATTTTCTTGCAGAGGCCCAGGTTCGACTCCGGCCTGTGGCACCTTGCTGCATGTCACTCCCTCTGTCTCTCTCCCCCTTTCACGCTTAACTGTCCTGTCAGTTTAAGGC